GCAGAAAGCAAAGACTGCTTTCTCATGTTCTGTAACCAGTGATGGTCAGGTCTCTCCCACTCTTGTGGCCTCATGAAATAGCAGGATCTCCATGACACAGAGCAACAAGATATCCAGAGGAGCCCCAGTGAGAGCCCATTATTGGTGGTATAGCAGAAACCACGGGCCTTGAGTCAGACCAATGATTCGCAGCAATGAAGTCGTAATGATGAACATACTAAAGGGTAAACAGTGTGTCTCAACGGGCCACACTACAGCTCCCACCACAAGATTCTTCTTTTTCTGGTTTTGTTTTGTTTTGCTGATTTGTTTGGCTTTTTTAAATTTTAATTCATTTGGGAGGAGAGGACAAATGCAAGGGGGCAGGGAGATATGAGGAATCAGAATGCATAATGTGAGATCCACAAACAATCAATAAAAGTGAAAATAAAATTTAAAAAAAAAGAAAAATGAAGAGGGTATCAGGAAAACACAAATCAAAACAATTCTGAGATTCCACCTTACACCTGTCAGAATAGCTAAGATCAAAACCACAAGAGACAGTTCATGCTGTTGAGGATGTGGAGCACGGGAAACAGTTTTTCATTGCTGATGGAAGTGCAAACTTGTTTAGCCACTTTGGAAATTAATATGGAAGTTTATCAGAAAATTGAAAATCGATCATTCTCCAGACCCAGCTATGCCACTCCAGATCATATGCCCAAAGGACTCTGCATCCTATCACAAGCACACCTGCTTAACTATGTTCATAGCAGCTTTATTCATACTAACCAGAACCTGAAAACAACCTTGTCCCTCAACCAAAAAATGGATAAAGAAAGTGCATCTACACAGTGGAGTATTACTCAGCTGTTAAAATAACATCATGAGATTTTCAGACAAATGGATAGAACTAAAAAAAAATCCTGAATGAGGTAACCCAGACCCAGAAAGACTAACATGCTATGTACTCACTTAGAAGTGGGCATTAAATGTAAAAGATAACAATGGTACAATCCACAGACACAGAGAAGGTAAGTAACAAAGAAAATTCAAGGGAGGAAATGCATGGGTCTCCCTGGGAAGGGAAAGTAGAATAGATTTTGTGGGTATACTAGGGGCAGGGGAGGACAGGAATGGGAGTGATCCGGTGGGGGTGGAGGGAGAGACAACTGGACTTGGAGGCCATTTAGGAGATTAAATGAAAACTACTGGAATGGAAATTCGTAGGAATCCAGGAAGGTGACCCTAGCTAATGACTGCTAGCAATTGGGGATACAGAACCTGAAGTGGCCATCTTCTATAACCAGACAAAGCTTCCAGTGGAAAGACTGAGATACCAACCCAGTCACATAACCTTTGAGCGACAGTCTGTCCTGCCTGTGGGACCTGGGGTAAGAGTGACAGATAGACTGTGGAAGTGGTCAAACGATGACTGGTCCAACTTGAGACCCATAACACGGGAGAGAGAACCCACCCTTGACACTGACTGGAGGGCCAGGGACCAGAGGCTGCATAGTCCAGAGACCTCGAATAGGAATCACACATAACCAAAAAAAAAAAAAGGTCAATGAACTGGTTCCTAATGATGCTTTGCTGTACTATAAGACTACAGCCCAGCATACTCAGCAGCAGCAGCAGCAGCAAGATGCAGAAACCTACAGTCAAACACATGCTGGAGCTCAGGGATCCTGCGGATGACGAGGCAGAATGATTGTAGGAATCAGAGGGGCCAAGAACACCACAAGAAAACTCGGAGAAACAATCAAGAGTCATTGGGGTTCACAGAGACTGAACCAACAACCTGGGAGTCTGCATAGGACTGACCTAAGCCCTCTGCATATATGTTAAAGTTGTGCAGCTTTGTCCTGTTGTAGGGCTCCTCTAACAGTGGGAGCAGGGGGTATCTCTGACTTCTTTGCCTGCTTTTGGAACCCTTTTTCTGATACTGGGTGGTCTCATCCAGCCTTAATAAGAGGGCATGCGCCTAGTGTTATTATAAAATGTTATGCCATATTTTGTTAATATCCCTGGGAGGCCTATCCTTTTCCGAGCAGAAAGGAGGAGTGGTAGACTTGGGGGAGAGGGGAGGTGAGGGGAAAGAGACTGGAAGAAGAGGGGGGAGGGGAAACTGTGATCCAGATGTAAATATGTGTGAGAAGAATACATAAAAAAAAACTGTTCAAAGTACCAATTGCTCCAATGTGTTAAACTGCTCTGGGACAGGAGAGAACTCCTCTCTCTACCCCATGCAGAGAATCTCTCTATAACTCTGAAGGACAGTTTACAATCTAAGGTTTAGTTTTTCAACCATAGGGTTCATCAAACAAGTGTCTGGTGTCTGTTCATGATTATCCTAGCCTCATGTAAAACAGAGCTGATTTGAAATGACTTCTAGTGTAGGGGATGCATAGATGTCCCTGGGAAGGGAATTTTGTGGGTGGGGCAGGTGAGGATGGGAACACAAAGGATCAGGTGGAAGAAGGAACAGATGGAGAGAGTACAGATAGAAAAGACTGGAATAGCTGTGGGCATTTAGAGGTTAATGTAGAAACCTGGAGCAGTGGAAACTTTCAGAAACCTATGAGGGTGCCCCTAGCGAGAACACCTAGGAATGGAGGACAAAGCTTGTAACAAGGCTAGGCTTCCAGTGCTGAGACTGGGACATCAACCCAGCCACAAAACTTTTGACCCACAACCTGTCCTGCCTGAAAGACTTACTGGAGCAATGGTGGCCTAGAGCTTGTAGGAATGGACAACCAGTGACTGGTCTAATGTTGAAATAGGAGCAGCAGCGGGGCTGCGTCCCCAGCACCCCAGCCGCCTGCTAGCTCATGCCTGAAATAACAACACACAAACTGTATTCATTTAAACACTGTTTGGCCCATGAACTCTAGCCCTTACAGGCTAATTCTCGCACCTAGACTAGCCCATTTCTAATGATGTGTATAAGCACCCCAAGGTGCACTTACCGGGAAGATTCTAGCCTCCGTCCATCCTGGGTCGGAGCTGCCTGGGAGAGCAGAGCCTGGCGTCTCTGCTCCAGAGAGCAGAGCTGTCGGGTCTCTCCGGAAGCAGAGCAGAGTCTGACCTCACTTCCTCTTCCGCCCAGAATTCTATTCTGTTTACTCCTCCCACCTACGCTTTAACCTATCAGGGCCAGCCAAGCAGGTTCTTTATTGCTCAATGACCTTCCTCCATCAGTCTAATTTGAGGCCCAAGCCATGAGTGGGAACCCATGTCCTCACCTGCCTAGATGGCCAGGAACTGGAAGCTGGATGACACAGAGACCTAGGATAGAACCACACCCAAGTGACAACTCGGATACCTAGGCCAGAACCAAACACAACTCAGAATAATGATAATAATTCAATGATTTTTTTTTTTTTTTGCTTTTTCAAGACAGGGTTTCTCTGTAGCTTTGGATCCTGTTCTAGAACTAGCTTTTGTAGACCAGGCTGGCCTCGAACTCAGAGATCCACACGCCTCTGCCTCCCAAGTGCTAGGATTAAAAGTGTGTGCCACCCCCACTTTGCTGAAATGATTCTTAACAATACTCTGCTATACTCATAGATAGGTCCTAGCTCAGTCATCATCAGAGAAGCTTCCTCCAGCAGCTGATGGGAGCAGATGCAGAAACCTAGCCAAACATTAGATGTTTGGGGAAAACCTTCACAAGAGGGGGAGGAAGGACAGAAGCAACTAAGCAAGGCTCTCAGGGGCTCTCAGAGAGCTTGCTTGGGTCTGTGCTATGTTCTCTGCATACATGTTGTAGCTGTTTAGCTTGGGGTATTTGTGGGACTCCTAACAGTGGGAGTGGAGTTGCCTCTGACTCTTTTGTCTGCTCTTTTTCCTCCCAGTGGGTTACCTTGTCCAGGCACAATATGATAGACTATGCCTAGTGTTAATTTGCATCATGTTATGCTGTGCTTAGTTGATAACCCCGGGAAACCTGCTTTTTGAAGGGATATGGAGCAGAAGTAAATCTTGGGGAGAGGTGAAGTGGCGGTGGGGAGGAGGAGAGGTTGGAGAGGCTGCAAGGAGAGGTTGGAGATATATGAGAAAATAAAGAAAAATAACTGAAAAACTAAAACAAAATCACCTCTAAACAAATAACTTGTAATGTTCCAAAACCCGAAGTTTCTTGGCCTAGGAATTTCTACTTTATCAGCTTTCATCCAGATCTTCTTTGCCATTATCCTTACTCTTTTTTATTTGTTCTATATCTGTGTACCACATCATTTTATATAATATCTCCCCTAGACATTAATTCGTTTGGATTGGCAAAAAAGGTCTCTTTCCTTAAAACTAGCACTGATAGTGAAGGTAGCAGGCTAAAGCACCTTGGCCTGAGTAGTGCCACTTTGACTTCAGACTCCACCTGCAGGGTGAATTAAATTTAGGTTCTCAAGCGCTAGGGGAGCTAAGAACTTTCAAATGGCTGACACAAACCACAGACATAGTTGTAATGCATCTTTAGTTCTTTAGAAACATGATGGTTGTTCTTAACACCAGAAGGAACAAATGAATCTGATTGACTGGAATGAAAGGCTTGACAATGCTAGAACATTCAAAGAAGCCCCTAATCTCTAAACCCTGATTGGTGGAAATTATAACTGTAACTTGGCAACAAATGTTTGTGAATTTTGTGCTTATAAACCCACTTCTGCCCATGCTCAGGGCTGTCAGGAGAAATAAAAGCTCCCGCTCCCAAGTCCTTGTCCTGCATCCCTGGCGGATCAGTTATCTGTTTATGTGGTGAATAAATAAAATCTTTGGAACCCCAAAGTGCCATCCCTCTCCTTCCTCATGGCACATTATGGGCTAGGTGTAACACTAGCAGTCTTCCAAAGAGGAAAATGATCTATTGAGCAAAGAACACATTTTCTCTCTTGTTTGCATTTTTATTCAGTTAACAACTAAGCACATTTCTTCAAACTTTACCAAAAAGTGGAATAGAAACAAAAGTGAATAAGGGAAAATGACAGCTTAAACATTTGGATTTGTTTTCCTCTATTTTACGAAACAAATTACACTCTTTCACACATTTGAGGAAAATATCCATTACAAATTCACGGCTGCTTGCTCTTCAACTTAAAGATTCAAGGGTTTTTAACATGTAATAGAGAATACCAAAGTTCTTACACTTAAATCTTCCAGCAAAAAATACTATGACCTATGTCATTTATAACTATTGACTCTGAATCTAAATAAGGGCTTCAAGAAAAGGGAACTTGAAAAATACTAATGTATAACCAAAGCACAAGAAGAGACACATTATGAACTATCAGCCTCTCATTACTTTTAAGTTGGGAAACTCTGCTCCAAACCTAAGGCTGTATCTACCTTTTATTTCTCTAGGAGCAAGAAGAGTCACTAGATGTGACTTTCTACTCTGCCTTATCTTAGTCAGTAGTGCCACTCCTGCCTACAGCTTGAGCTCGGGCTCTCTCTTCCTGATCTCTCAAAGCCTCTTCATAATGAGATGGGAAGGCCTGAGGAATGGTCTCATTGACCTTGGCCAAAAACATCAGGACATTCATCTTGGTGGTTTCAGCATGAGCCCGGGGACCCCAAAGGAATTCATAGGATGGAGGATCACTGTTAGCTACCTGCTGGTACTCCAGGTACTTTTCCTTAACCAAATCTTTGGTGATGAGATTCCGGGGCTCCCCAAAGATTACGTGCACCTTCCCATCAAAGATTCCCAAAATATTCAGGAAATCCCAGATCTCTTTCTCAGTGGCACGGTTGCCTTTTAGAAAGATCACACCCAGCAGAGGCATCAGAAGCCCATTCTGGGGAAAAGGCAAGCCAGTGGTCAGAGTCCCAATGCTGGGGTCTAACTTACTGACAAGGGTGTAGTAGCTACTATTGGGCTTGATTTGCTTCACTTCAAGTCCAAAAACAAGCTGTAAGCGCTCAGAGGCTTTCTTGAGGATCTCGGGGAAGTGCTCCTTGAATCGTCTGTTGATAATTTTCAGCATTTCTCCCTTATTCATTGGCTGCTTCATTTTGTACTTGCAAAGCAGGTACTGCATCAGCATTCCCGTCTTCCTTGTTAGAAGATCATTCTGGGGGCTCCCAGTGGACTGTGAGACCACAGAGCAACTAGGATTTTGCTCCCTTTGGCCCCTGGCACCTTTACCAGATCTTCCTCGGGTCGCACCTTTACCAGCGGTGATGGTAGGTGCCTTGCCCTGAGACTTAGACTTCGGAGGGAAGCTAGCAGTAGACGTGCTTGCAACCGCATCTCCAGGATCATAAGCAGAGGAGGAGGGTGACTCTTCTTTCTCTGCTGCCTTTGCTTGAGCATCATTGGACCCCTGGACCTCATCTTGGACCTGGCGGCGTTTCGCGCGAGCACGGGCCTTACTCTTTTGTCCCCTGGGCATGATGGCTGTGGTTAGAATCAGCAGATAGGAGTGTGGGCTGGAAATCAAGTACTCTGGGGACCTGGAGGAGGAATAATGAGATCCTATAAGTACTTTCAGGAGGATCATAGCACTTTGGCTTTTAGCAACCTGCCTCTACAGGTCAGACAAACATACAAACACTAATCTAGGAACTCTTCTTAGCCTAAGCAAACAGTGAAGGAAGCTATAGTTTGTCCAGTGTGCAAGCAGCCAAGTTCCACTGACTTAGTGATAGCTAGGGCTGGCAGTGTCTTCTCAGTTCACACACATTACTTTTGACAAGTCCTAGAAGCTCTTTCCTATGCTGCTCAGCAACTGAACGCTCAAATCCCCCTAGTATTGATGAAAAAATGCAGGAAGGTTTTCCTCCCATTGCTCCTATAAGGAAGAAGTACTAAATAGCTCTGTGGGGCTATCTCGTTTGTCTTTCTGGGTACTTAACATTAAGAATTATCATTTTATCTCCATACAGGACCAAGAACCCTCCTTTCTCCTGTACCTTCAGCCAGAGGATCTCATTTCACTTAAACACAATACAAAGAGAAGAGAGACATCTTGACTGTGTTCTGTGGCTCCGAGGGCTGAGTGCCAAGACAACCACAGGCTACTGTTTCTGCAAACTCGAATTGAGGGAGAAGTACCTTCAGTCCTCACCTACTGTTTATACCCTGACTCTTGAAGTACCTAGAACTAAGCTCCCCTCTCTACATGGAAATCTCACTGACACTTAGCAGAGGGTGTGACTATGCCTCTGTGTAACCATACTGAGCATATCTTCCAGAGGTCCAAAGCTATGGCAGATAGGCTAAGGCCCTGTCATACGTTGTTTTGCTCATGGTCCTCTCTCAACATCTTCAATCTGAGTCTCAAGAAGGCACAAATTCTTCTCCTTGCTTATTCATCAGACTAAAACCCTCATTTTTCTATTAGTCTTGCAGAGAAACTAAGGGAACTTCTTAACTGAGGCCTCACGGGGGATAACATCAAGAGGGATTCCTTGGGACCTCTCTTAATATGGGGCGTGAGTTCCCTGAGTTCCTCATGATTACCTGGAAATCTCCCCTACTGGCCTGATGCCGTTCATAGAAGATTAATATTTTTAGCTCCCTCAGAACCCTGGGATGAAAGAACGCACGAGCTACAACCAGCTATCTTCACCGTTTATGAGACCCTACTGTCTCATAAACCCATGAGGTCATGGGTCTCCTCAGTTACTTCTCACTCAGCTGAGATAGAGGTTCTCCAAATAAATCAAAGTAGCAATGTCCCTGAGACCCTTGTAGGGATAAGTCCAGCCCCTTAGGGGGCGTGTTCGCCTCGGGCTAATGTTTACCTATAAATCTGGCAAGTGTGCTCCCAGTCGTGCCTTCTGCTTTCCTGGTCTCCACGGGAACCGTGGTTCTGTAAGTCTATTTCCCCATTAAAGCTGTATATATTTTTACAATCTGTCTGCATTCATTTACACCATTACAGACCCTACCTGAATAAACTTAGGTGGCATCTACTCCTGAGAGCTCTAACCCTAGATTCTCAAGTCTGAACTGTAAACCTCAAGATTTTCTAGCTGCCAGCTGATTCACTGCAACTGTCTCCATTAAATATGGAGAAGGGAGAAAGCTGCCCTGGGAGACGGCTCCGTGGGGAAAGGTAAGCCTAAGAACCGGAGTTTGATCTCTGACACCCACATGGTGAAAGGAGAAAACAACTCCTGACAGCTGCCCCACACTCCTCTTTTTAGCCCACAGACACACACACACACATGTGCACACAGGTGCACAATACACTAAATGTAAAATAATAAACCAATTAATATTGAGTATAAATCAGTGACATGGTTCAGCCTAATAGCCCAAGCTTTATTCTTTGAACCCATATGTGCACCATGCCACATCTGCACACGTGTGCATGCACACACACACACACACACACACAAATAAACGCAAAATATTTTGAAATTAAATACTGAACAAACTCCATTTCCACACTCAGGCTATTTCCTTTGGCTTCGCCTTTTGGGGATTCTGCTCTCTGCTGTCCAACATCTCCTAGGAGCAGGGATGAAACTCGTAGATCTTCCTGCTGGAACCCAGCTCACTCAAGCTCAATGCACAACTAGGAAGATTTAAGATTGCTCCCGCCACTGACTTGAGTCCCTACATTTCCAACCCACGCCAACTTTTTGCTGGGTCATTAGAAGGGAACCATGCACCACAGCTGACTACCTTGCTGAAGATTCCTAAGCCCTAACAACATGGGGCCTACTTTGTGTACTATATACTACTGATTTACCCACTGGAATTCTTAGACTGTTTCTGGCAGGACTTGGCATCTTGTGCCTTTAATCTCAGCACTCTGGAGGCAGAGGCAAAGGGAAAAACTATGAGCTCAAGCTCAGCCTGGTCTACATGGTGAATTCCAGGGCACCTAGACCTATAAAATTAGAGTCAGCAAGCCGGGCTACGGTGGCGCACGCCTTTAATCCCAGCACTCGGGAGGCAGAGCCAGGTGGATCTCTGTGAGTTCGAGACCAGCCTGGTCTACCGAGCTAGTTCCAGGACAGGCTCCAAAGCCACAGAGAAACCCTGTCTCAAAAAACCAAAAAAAAAAAAAAAAAAAAAAAAAAAAAAAAAAAAAAAAAAAAAAAAAAAAAAAAAAAAAAAACCAACAAAAAAAAAAAAAAAAAAAAAAAAAAAAAAAAACAGTAAAGACCTCCTCTATTCAGAGGCTCCACCCTCTCGGCTAACGGGGCTTTTCTTCGTTTAAAGGGCTTTTCTTCGTTTAAAAAAAATTAAACTGGGCCGTGCAGTGGTGCAAACCTTTAATCCCAGCATTTGGGAGGCAGAGGCGGGTGGGTGGGTCTCTGTGAGTTCGAGGCCAGACTGGTCTACAAAGTGAGTTCTAGGACAGGTTCCAAAGCTACAGAGAAACCCGGTCTAAGAAAAAAATAAAATAAAATTTATCTCTGTGTATCCTGACCCACGCATATCTAGGTCAGAGAACAACAGGTTGACTTTCTCCTTCCACCATGAATGTCTGGGAGACCGAAACCCGATCCTCGGGCCTGCATGGAAAAGCGAGTTCCGCTGCATTTTGCCGTTGTTCCTGGTGTTTCTGGGGAGGGGGGGGGTATATTGTTGAAAAGCCTCTGAGTGGAAATAAGGCTCCACTTTGGTCATAAAAGCTCTGGCCCAGGACCTCCCAAGGGTTCCTGCTGTGATGATGGCTATGGAGTGGACTTGACGGAGGATGAATACAACGACGGAATACCGAGGGATCCAGGAGGACAGACAAATCTAGAGAAGTAGGGAACAACATTTTGTGGGGTCTGCTCTATCACAGGCGAGGGGTTAGTCGCTTCAAAACATATTTGGGGACCTTACCTTGATTCCAGAGGAGTCGGAGAAATTCACCCTCAGCCGACGGCAGGATGCAGCAGCTACGGAGGCGGAGTCTCCTTGCAGAGCCCGAGATTCTCGCCTTCACAAACGGAAGTAAGAAAGAACTGTATCCGGTTGTTTGCCTGGGGTCTCCTAGAGCTTAAGGCAGGGGCGCGTTGCTAAGGCACCCCGCTACTTCAGAATCAGTGTTCCCTTGAGTGTCACTTAATAGACAGAAGAGCTTGAAATTTCTCACTTTACTGACCAAAGTCTCTCAACCTCCAAACCAAGCCAAAATCTCAAATTTTCCACAAAAGCAACGGAGCCAAACCTCACATAGTGTCCTCTGCAGGAACTCCCAAATAGCGTCCTCTGCAGGAACCCTTGGGCATTGCAACAGGGGTAGGACTCGGAACTGCTTTGTTTGGGGAACAGACATTAAGAATGGCCTATATAGATCCTCCCCCTTATTCAGATTATATCCAAAATTCTTCCTTTGTTGAATTATGTCCCCATTTACTACAAATTACAACTTTCTTTTGGAGACATTTCAGAGAGACAGGATTACCAAAATCTGGTGGTTCTATATGGAAACTCAGATGGGAATTTGTTAAGTGCCCCTCACACCCGACCCTTTTTTTTTTCCTTTAGGTTTTCGAGCCAGGGTTTCTCTGTAGCTTTGGAGGCTGTCCTGGAGCTAGCTCTTGTAGATCAGGCTGGCCTCAACTCACAGAGATCTGCCTGCTGGTGGACTAACTCCCTGTAAAACCTCTCACGAGAGGGCTTGGAAAGAAACTCTAAACACATTTATTAAAAAAAAAAAAGTTAGCCACATTTTTTTCAGCTGGTGGCTTGCTGCAGCTCCCTTAAGAAAGGTTTTCCTAATTGAGCTGTAGCAGGAAAAAAGCAGGTCGTTTAGAAATGTCGGCTTTCTGGGTCTTGCTGCTAGCATGAGCTCTCACTTTTTCAGGCAGAAGATCCAGCTACAGAGCATTTGAATGGGGTTTGTGAGCAGACTGCTGCAGCTTGCTTAATGGTGACATGGACCTGCTGTGTGCCTGAGAACGGGTCTGTGTGCATGGCTCTCAGATGCTTCAGCGGCTCCACCATGTTGGAAATACCATATATACCATAGTAATGGAGCAGCTTAAGTTTTAAGAAGAGCTTAGCATTTTAAAAAGCACTCCTGGACAGGAAAGAATTACAAATATGCAATAAAAACAAATCCAGATGAGTCATAGTATTGGATAAATGTATGTAGACTTGGAAGAGAGAAGAAAAAGAGTATAGAGTGTCATAAAATAAAGTTTATGCTTTTAAGAAAGGTAAAGTCTTTAGAGAAAGAGTACAGATAGTCATAGATATAAAAGGAGTAAAGAAAAAAGACACATAAAGATGGAAAATTTACAGATAATTTGGATTATGTATATTATTGTGTTATCCTTAAATTTTTTGACTGTGAATGAGCTAAATACAGAGAGACATTTCATTATAAGGACTGCTAAGCATGTATATTAAAAAGGTATCAAGATTTCCAAATTTGTGTCTAAGGATGTTGCTTAGGAAAAGAAGTTCTTCCCTTGTTTCCACAGAGGATGAGAACCTGTGGATTGCTTCC